GTATATATATTTGTCGATGCTTTACATTACTTTCTGTAAATATCAAGAGGAATACCTCGCAAGTCAAGAAAATAGATAACTCACAAATTAATCATTTCTCTTTTTTCGATTATAATGGTTTCCAATGACTTACGTTGTTGTCATTGTGAAATTGCAATATCAAAGCTCGACACGTTTAGGAAGGTTTCCTTCATGTTTAGAAAGGCATTCCTAAACATGAAAAATCCTTCCTAAATATCTTCCTAAACATTTGAAAATCCTTACTAAAAATATGTGACAATCTTTCCTATTTTTTTTTAATTTCCTAAATTTATTTTTTAGAAAGGCTTCCTTCATGTTTAGGAAAAATCATTTATAAATGTATTCCGAAACATTTGAAAATCCTTATTAAATATGTGAGAATCTTTTCTATTTTTTTTTTAATTTTTCTAAATTTATTTTTTTAAGAAGGTTTACTTGATGTTTAGCAAGGTCTTGCTAAACATGTGTTAATCCTTCATAATTTTTTTTAGGGAGGCTTCTTTCATATCCTTCATAAATTTATTTTTCAGGAAGGTTTCTTTCATGTTTAGGAAGACCCATAATAAACATGAAGAATTCTTCCTAAATGCCTTCCTAAACATTTGAAAATCCTTACTAAACATGTGAGAATCTTTCTTAATTTTATTTATTAAAAAGATTTCCTTCATGTTTAGGCATGCCTTCCTAAATATGTGAGAATACTTAAATTTATTTTTAGAAAGGTTTTCCTCATATCCTTCACAAATTTATTTTTTAGGAAGGGTTCCTTCATGTTTAGGAAGGGGAAGAGTCTTTCCTAAATGCCTTTCTAAACATTTAAAAATCTTTACTAAACATGTGAGAATCTTTCCTAATTTTTTTTTAAAGGTTTTCTTCATGTTTAGATAGGCCTACCTAAATATGTGAGAATCCTTCTTAAATTTATTTTTAGGAAAGTTTTCTTCATGTTTAGGAAATTTGAAAATTCTTACTAAACATGTGAGATTCTTCCTAATTTTTTATTAGGAAGATTTCCTTCATGTTTAGGAAGAAAAAAATAAGAAAAGATTCTCACATGTTTAGTAAAAATTCTCACATGTTTAGGATGTCTTCCTAAACATGAAGAATCCTTCCTAAATATCTTCCTAAACATTTGAAAATCATTACTAAATATGTGACAATCTTTCCTAATTTTTTCTTTTAATTTTCCTAAATTTATTTTTTTAGAAAGGCTTCCTTCATGTTTAGGAAGGATTGTCACTTGTTTAGAAATGCCTTCCTAAACACATTCCTAAACAAATAGGAAACTTTCCTAAAAAATATGTTTATGAATGATTTTCAATTATTTAGGAAAACCTTTCTAAAAATGTAAGACACCTTCCTAAAAAATAAGTTTAGGAAGGATTCTCACTTGTTTAGGAAGACCTTCCTAAACATTTTCCTAAATTTGTAAAAAAACTTCCTAAAACTAAGTTTATGAAGGATTTTCACTTGTTTAGGAAGGCCTTCCTAAACAGCTTCCTAAACTTGCAAAAATTAGTTTAGGAAAAAATTTCACTTGTTTAAGAAAACCTTCCTAACCACCTTCCTAAACAAGTAAAAATAAATTTAGGAAAGTTTCTCACTTGTTTAGAAATACCTTCCAAAACTTTTAAAAACCTTCCAAAAAATAAGTTTAAGAAAGATTTTCACTTGTTTAGAAAATCTTTCTTAAACACCTTCCTAAACTTGTAAAAAACATTCCTAAAAATTAGTTTAAGAATGATTTTCACTTGTTTATGAATGCCTTCCTAAACACCTTTCTAAACTTGTAAAACACCTTCATAAAAATTAGTTTAAGAAGGAATTTCACATGTTAAGGAAGGCCTTCCTAAACACCTTCCCAAACTTGTGAAAAATCTTCCTAAAAATAAGTTTATGAAGGAATTTCACTTGTTTAGGAAGGCCTTCTTAAACACCTTCCTAAACTAGCAAAACACCTTTAAAAAAATAAGTTTATGAAAGATTCTCACTTGTTTAGGAAGACATTCCTAAACACCTTCCTAAGCTTTTAAAAATCTTCCAAAAATTAAGTTTAGGAAAGATTTTTACTTGTTTAGGAAAGATTTCTTAAACACTTTCCTAAACTTGTAAAAACCCTTCCTAACAACTAGTTTAGGAAAGATTTTCACTTGTTTATGAAGGCCTTCTTAAACTTGCAAAAAACCTTCATAAAAATTAGTTTAGAAAGGTATTTCACTTGTTTAGGAAAACCTTCCTAAGCAATTAAAAAACCTTCATAAAAATAAGTTTAGGAAGGTTTCTCACTTGTTTAGAAATACCTTCCTAAACTTTTAAAAACCTTCCAAAAAATAAGTTTAA